GACTTCGCCAAAGACCCCTAAAAGTTCAGTGGCTTCAAAATTAGCGCACTGGGGGACACATCGTGGGAAATTCGCAGCAACTCGAAAAGTCCCTTCCCCAACTTATTAGGCTGCGTTTATACTTTGCGGCAGCGTAGCGTAGCGTAGCGTAGCGCAGCGTAGCGTAGCGCTTCCAGCGTACGCCAGCGGCAGTGCCGAAGAGAGGATGCATATCGATCTAGCTTCACCAGCGTCACCAGCGGCACGCTGGCGTACGCTAGCGCACGCTGGCGTAGCGAGGCAGGGTACAGCATCGTTGTGCGAAACCCATAGGGGGGTCGTACTTGGCCGCTGGGGAGGGGGGTCGTAATCTCAAGGGTCACTCAGAGCCGAGCAATGCTTCGACATTTCAGTTGATAGTGGGAGTGGAGCTATGGAAGTCAAGATGTTAAAAAAATGAAGTTTATTATGAGTGTATTCTTTACAGCTTTAAATGCTACGTTTAACAGCCCTCTTTTCATGGGAAATCCCCAAGAATGGGTTCGTACTTGGCCGCGGGGGACGTGGGGAGTATCGCAAAAGTAGGCTCGCTAGGCATCAAACAGTACAAAGGTGTCATTGCTAAGGGTAATGGAACGGACGGAAAGCTTCAGAAGACCCGGATGTAAATAGGAATACAAAATAATAAAAGATTTATTAGCAATATAGCAAGAATAAATAAATAAATAAATAAGTGTCAGTTTATAGCATGAACTACGTAGATGACTAAATAATACGTCTCAAACAGATTCGTGCGTGTTGTCCTTTACAAACCCTAAACAAACATCTGCTTGCATGGATAAAAGCACCTGAAATTAGAATTTACACCTTTCCACCACCTCTGCGTAGGAGCCTAATGCACGGCGCACGGACCAAATCGATCAGAGATAGCCGAGCTTCTCTTTCACTCATTTGAAGGGAAATATGTGTTTTGAAGGCACACTGAAAGGTGTATCCTCACAATGGCACATAAGGAGTCAATTTTTCGGGTGGTCCAGGGGGTAGCGCAAGGGTAACCCATCTAAAATATCTCCTGAACTAGTGGGTCTTCAGAAAACCGTGAAGCTTGTTGGAAAGAGAAAGGATGGAGGGGGTTTCAGGACGTTTTTAATCTGATGAAATTGCGTTTGAACGAAGCAATCCTCGCGTGAAGCATGGAAACCAGCTCGCGATTTACCCCTAGCCTATCCAAAACCCATCCGGAATATTTCACCAACGGGGATTGTTCAGTTTGCAACTAGGTAGAATACACAACAGTAGAAACTTTGCCGTTGCATGCTGCTCACCATTCCTCAAAAGCTCCGCACCTAAAAAAGATATAACCCCCGAACAGACCCCAGGACGTTGGCAAGTCCAACAACCGCGCTCCAATGACGTTTTTCCAAAGAAAGCGGTCGCAGCCTTGCGCCCTGCAGCCTGATCGATAATAGCCAAGTATGGAACGATTTACTGCCGGCCTGGTTATCCTTTTTCATTTAGCTCTGCATTTTTTGTATTTTCCATGTTTCGCTTTGTTGTGTCGTGCATGTTTTCATTATTTCCCCGTCACCATTCATTGAATGCACATCTGGGCCCTGACACGCTCACCTTGGGGCTATTTTTTTCACCAATTCAGCCTATCAATGATCACCATTAGCCGCTATTTCAATTGTGTTTCTTGTTACAAGTTGCATGTCATACATAGTTATCGAACGAGGAGTTTTATTTTGAATCCTAAGACAAAATTGTAGGTAATGCGAGGCTGTTGTTCAGCCTCATATTGCATGAGGCTGAAACAGCCTTTTATTTCCTGTATTTTAGAGCAGAGTGCGCCTTTCGAGAATCCAGATTCCATTTCAGGAAGTCATTTGTGGTGAACATGCATCTGGTTGTCAGTTAGAGCAGGAGGGGGGGGGTCGTATCTGGACCCTCTTCGAGGGGGGGGGTCGTACCCACACCGCCATTTGACACATCCCCATGCTGTACCCTGTAGCGAGGGCACGGGAAGCATAGCTATCGATCTAGCTTCACCAGCGTTTCTCGAGCGTTTCTCCAGCGGCACCAGCGTTTTGCTAGCGCTTGCAGCGGCAGGGAGTAGAGACTATGTGGTCGCTTCTAGCAAAAATTCTGTCATACGCCAGGACGTGCCTTGTCAAAAGGCATATCGAACCCTCATCGAAGAGGGTGCGCATGCTGGATAATTAAGTAAAGATTTATAACAAACCATTTTCGACGATTGACATCGAGACGACGTTCACTTCCACTAGTTGTGCTTCGTATTGGCTAGAAAAGTTCATTCCTTTCAATTGAAACTATCCAGAGAGAATGAATTTAACTACATCCATACCTTGCAAAGTAGTTTTCAATGTTTAATTCCCACTTTTTTACCATTTCAGTTGTCCAAGAGCGATGCTTTCCAGCTCGGAATGCCAACGCTATCACAGTAGCTGATTTGAGCTCGCCATTCTCTTTCACTTCGACGCCGAAGAAATTTGGCTGAATAGATCTTTTAAGGCACAGCTGATATCGTCACTCGGGGCGATTTCTAGAGGGCTGGAGTGAGCCCATCCGCTTCGTTTTCACACCTAGTTGTTTTCTTCTTGAATGGATCACTAACCGGTCACTGTTGGTACAGCAAGACAGCTGAAGGTGAGCTCATTGCCCCCCCCCCCCTCAACTGACACCGCTCCGACTGAGTGTGACGACATCGACTACACTTTATCATATGTTCTCAATGCCTTCAGCGACATGCGAATATATGATGAAATTTCCTTGAGAAAGTTCTGGATTATTTCTCATAAATAATTCTCATGTGTTCCAAATCACATTTATGCCACATTTATGCTTAGTCTTCTGTGAGCAAACCCTCCGTTTAGAGGAGTGTCGCTGGGAGGTACAGTTAGTTGGTTTTGGCGCGGATTGGCACGGAACCTGCTCGTTCTCCACTAATTACTGAAACGGCCAAGCGGCTACAATTGGTGGAAAATAATGCCAAATCCAGCCCATTACTCCCTTCCCTGACGTCTCCTAGCGTCTACAGCGAAAACGACTACAACGAAAACGAAACGGCGTTCCGGCGACACGGTAAACACGCCGTTTCGACACGGGATCTAACTGATTCAGAGCGGAATTACCACATGTTGACTGTAACCAGCTATGGAGTACTAGCTAGCTACATTGAGGGCGTTGCCCAAAATTAGTCACCCAACCAATCCATGGTTCCAAAGAGATCATAGAAATTGTATTGCAATAAGAAGCCTTAGAATTAGGTTGACCGGAAAGTTTCCCGCCACGTGTTTGATCGCACCATATTAGCCTTGCATGTATGTTTATGACTTATCGTGGGGTGTGCATGAAGCACGCAAGAGACTCTTTCACATCACTACCTCACACTCACCCAGCTTGCATTTGGATTCCAAAATGCCGCCCAAGTTTCAACCCGACAGGATGCACCTGAGGCACTGTCTTCTTTTCCTTCATCAGTCTGGCTTAAAGGCACGTTCCGCGATAAACTAAGGCTAGGTTCTCATAACCGTGCACGATGGTCAAGCAGGCAACGTCAGAGGCTATGCTGCTTTTAAAAGTTGAAAAACAGCAAGCAAAACGCAGGGCGCTCAGGTTTTAGGCCCATTTGCCCGATAGGCCCATGCCGGCCTCCAGTGACCGTGTGACTGCCATTGCGCTCTCTCGCCCGTCGTTTTCTGGCCTCTCTCGTCTCTTATCAGTGTATCGCCGCCTTTCGCAATTCACAATTGATCTTGACCACCTTACGCTCGTCCGGTGATCATGATCAATTGCAATAAAGAGGGTCTTATTGCGGGCGCTTTTTCGTGGTTCCTTCTCTTCAATAAGTCAACAATCACAGGGCAATTCTATTTTTGAACTGTATTACCTATGAAGTGTGGTCGCGGGAATTGCCTTTAAACGCAAAGGAAGCCCAAGCCAAGATAGTGGATACATATGGCGCTGACGCTATCTCTTACGACACGTGCAAGACCTGGATGGCCAAGTTCAAGAAAGGAGATTTTTCTCTCCAAGATGCTCCAAGGTCCGGCCGGCCGATGGAGTTAGACTTGAAGTTGCTGCAATCCACCGTGGAAGAGGATCCGTACGCCACTACCAGGGAACTTGCAGCGATGCTCGGCCATGCCCAATCAACTGTTGAATCTGGGCTGGAGAAGATTGGTAAAGTCGCAAAGCTTGGCCGTTGGATTCCTCACCAATTCAATGGCGGGAAACTTTCCGGTCAACCTAATAATTGAGTTGTTACAAAGAACCAGCAGAGCTTATTCCTCACCAAGAGACTGAATTTAACTCCGAAAAGTTCCGAAGTTGGATATGAAATTAATTATCGATGACGTAGCTCGTCATGAGTACTTCTCTTTCAAAACTCGCAATCCGTTCTGAAAATCTGAATTTGATGCCATTTGTTCATAATCATAACGCAGAATCTACGACTTACATAGAACATCTTTACGGGCTCGTTAGCCTGACAGAATTCTTTGCAGAATTCTTTGAAAGACTGATTTCTGCCGAGATCAGCGTTGTACATCGGGAAATGAGATGAAACGAGTTCAAGAATCTGAAATAGAAAATGGAAGCAAAAGTCCAAGTTCAAGTTCATGCAGTCTTGTTCGTTGCGGATGCTAAGGCCTGTCAGAGGACTGAATTTGGCGCGGCGTCAGCTTGGTTTCTTTTAATTATTGTCGCTTGCACTCTTAAGAAAATGATGGAGAATAGGCTAGCGTCGAGCCAAGCCTAGCCCCCTGACAGCGAATTTTCCGCAGACTTTCCAATCCATCCATAACTAATTGTAAGCGCTGTCATATCGATGGCCGTTCTGCTCTATGCCGCCTACTAGTCTTCAAGGCGTAGACATAGTCCCGAACCCCATTCTGGTGCGAAGCCAACAACCGCAGTAAAAAGGTAGTCTATTCTTCTGTTGAACTAGAAATCCACTTGTCTACTTCAGTAGCGTGTATACTCCTCTTCCCTGCCATTCCAACCTTCTATTTCGGTATTAGATGTGAGCGTGGTCTCATAAAGGTGTGCGTACCGGTTTGCAGGTTTGTCGATTTGCCCTTTACGAATCGTGATAGGACTGCCAGAAAAACCAGGAAGTTAATCGGTCTTTGTCAACCATCCTACAGCAATGTCAAGATTGTCATTGCTTGTTTGTTTGACTAGCGCTCCTTCCGTACGTCGAGGAGAACCGTCCAATACTTCACGAGTAATGGCCTCGTTTCTAGACCTAGTCACATGAAGGTAGAGAAAACCCCCAAATGATCGGAATGAAGGAAGCGTGAGTTTTGTTAAGAGCTGATGATTTATAGGTTGCCATTAAAAATAGATATAAAAACAGTTCATCGGGTGTGGCGTGTTTATCAATAACACCCTCCCATAAGTTTGTCACTCCCTGCTGCTCACATGTACAGCCGATCGTTATATCGTGTTTATGCTTTGCGATAGGGGAGTGTATCAAAACAGGAGAATAGGAGAAACATACTCAGCGGTAGAGAACAACCAGAAATGAAAGAGCGCAG